TGTCTAATTTAGACTCTGTTTTAGTAATTCTGGTCTCGAGTTAGTATTCTCAGAAGTGTAAAAACTGCAGCAGGCAGTTAGCAAAACTTTTTAGGATGGAAAAATTGGCCAATGATTTAATAACTTGCAATGAAGGGAGGTAAGGCAGAAGGGCTTTTGTAGGCGCTGAGTGGAGATGATGATTCAAAGCTACTAGGCCTTCCTCATGCACTCTCACCTCTACTAGTGTCTTGGTCACTCCTTTAGCCCCAGTGAGATTATTTGTCAAGTCTAGACATGAAGTAGGTAAAATTCAGCCTAGATAAAATGTTCAGCTTGGGGGAGGGGGGCAGTAAAAATGAGGTGCGTTTTCAGTCTTTGCTTTATTAAAAAAAAGTTTAAAAAAAAACTATCATTGACCCTATGAAATGAAGGCAACGTTAGGTAGGACTTCAGGTCACTGTAACACGAGTTGCATAGAGAAAACCAGAAAACTCAGTTATTTTGCAGGGAAGGGTGTACATGAGAACATGGAATCATCTGCTGCTTGTGATGTTTTCTCTGCATCAGGTCGGCAGCGGCTTGCCTGAAAGGTAGATGGAAGAGTCCGCCCAGTTCTTAGCCATTTGCAGCGTATTGAAAATGGTTATTCTCTGGTATGATGTGTATGCGAAATTTTTGTAAACAATACCTAAAAATTGTTAAAAGAAAACAGGAAGCTAAATGCAACAGTAAGATACTCCAGCTTTGTTTGAATTGTCTTCTGTCATGTATATTTTCCATAGCATGATTGATGTTTTGCTTCGTTCTGAATAATGCTGATCGTAAGGTGACAGTATGTAATCAGTGGCTGGAAGAAAAGGTTGCTTGCATCCCCTCAGAGGTGGGGAATGTGCCTGGTAAAAGTTTCAAAATACCATCTTTTTTAGGGAATGAAGATACGGGCCTTTCCAGAACGGTAGCAGGCATCTTTTTTGGCAGTCTACTGGTTTGAATAAACTGTATCTTTTTACCTCCTTATCAGAGTGAGTTCTTGTTATAAAAACTAGCATCCTTAAATGTTTCATAGCTCCGTGTCTTGGACTCGTGTGACTGCCTTTCTGCACACGTGTGGAATGCTGCTCCAAGACCAGAGAGGTTACTTGCTGGAGTGAAGCTGCCGTTTTCCCTGAATTCAGGAGGAATGCAGGGCAGCACACTGGGTTATCTCTTCCTTGAGGAATACTACTTGCATTGACTTGAGCCTCCTTCTGTGAACAAATGCAATTTCTTCAATGCATTTTAGCAAAGTACTGGGGAAAAACCCAAAACTTTTGCTGCTTAATATTTTCAGTGTTTTTATGTGTTAGAAATTGTTTTGAAATCACAGCCTTAAGTTTGTTGTCAGAATTTCAGTAATATTTCAATGTGATAGTAATAAAATTACTTTTAATAATAAATTGTTTTGGACAAAACAATGATATGTAAATCAGAAAATTACTATTGTCTTCTGAACTCTTTGATGAAACTAAGTGGGAATTCAATGTTTGAACCACTAAGGCCTTCACGAGCTTTTATAGCCCAGGTATTGAACCTTTGTCTTACAATTAAGAGAGAAATGAAACCTTTTGAGAATGGTATTGACACCCTGCAGGGACATATGTCAGCTGCAAAAATGTTTACACTGTCATGCTACTTCGACAGAAAATGTCATTAAGTCTCATCTTTTCCTTATACCATTTAATTTGAAAATAACAAACCCTGGGTGTGGAGCATAACTGCATTTTGGCCTGTGAGTTTGTGTATTGGCTGTTTTTCTCTTACTTCCCCTGCTCTGTAACATACAGTGCATTATTTCTATTGCCATGAAACAACGTAGAGGAAAAAAGATGGTGTGTATAGTGATTGAGAGATTCCACTTACTACTGTTCCACTTGCTGAATTTTACAAGTACCCGTCTCATCAATAAACCTGTTTATTACTAATAAATGAGCAGAGATTGTTAATACCTGCAGGAAGTTCATCGGACGCTCTGAAATTGGGCATAGTGCTTCTGATATTCATTCCAGTTATCAGTCAGATATAATAGGGCCATTAACATTCACAGCTGCCTGCAAAATAAGATATTTGCTGTCATTTTCTCCTTTCTGAAGGCCCAAGTACAACACTTACAAGGTTTCCTGAGCAGTGCAGAGTCCATGATGACGTTAGAGGGATGGTGCACATAAGACTCTTTCGCATATTGGCATCGCTAACTTATGTATAAAAATCATATTGGTTTTTAAAGTGTAAGAAACATAATACTGATACCTGAATAAACTGTTACACTGTTAATAATTTTTAAAATGTAAAAATCAGATGTAAAAAAATGCTTTTTAAGATACCTGATACGTCCAAGTAAAAACAATTTTGAAAATGTATGTAGAGGTTTGTGTTGGAAAAGCCTGTAAGCAATGCTTATGTAACAACAGTATTTAGACTTGCACATCAGCTGGCTGGTATAGCCAGATCTTCAGTTTTTCCCCATTCTTACTTTTTGGAGGTATTTGTGAATAGCTTGATGTTTTTGACATCTGTGTGACAGCTTCTTGCATAGGAGATGAGCAGCGTGTTATGCCACCCAGCTGTGTGTATTAGTCTGTACATCAAGCTGAAGAGTGGCACTTAGCCAGATCTGACAATCAAAATCGAACTAGTACTACCTATACACAAGAGTGCATTTTAATATTCTGTGCTTTTTGCCAAGAGGCTGGTACTTGACAGAGAAATTGTCAGAATCTCTCTTCTTCCCACCTCTTTTTTTTTTTCCCCCCAGATGTGAGTCCATGTTGAAATATTTTTTTCCTGCAGTTTAATATGGCTTATTTTACAGATTACAGCCAAACTAATTTTTTCAGTGATTTCATGTAATAAAATTGCAGCAATTTTTTTTGTTATAGAGAAGTGTTACAGTTTTAGAATGTGCAGCAAATTAGCATGTCATTTCTGCCATCTTAAGCTGAAGTTCCATTATGCTGGGTTTCACCAATGACTTCTGGTCAACAGACCAGCACCCGGTCCCCAAAGAAAACTGGAGACCTGGAGAAATTACACTGCTAGGTTGTACATTTTAGTGCTGCTCTTCTCAGTCTAGCTGGGTTGGTGATCAGCACAGTGTGGGTGAGGACATGAGTAAGTGAGAAGTACCTGCTCTTATTTTAGTTTGACGGACCTGTTAGCTTTAAACCTTGAAGTCTTCTATGCTTCCTCATGATTTTAAACCTCCGTCATCTTCCTTGATGCTTAAATCTGAATAAATGTAATTCACCGTCACAATAAAATACACAGTTACACTCTTCATCGTCCAGCTTTCCTTGTTCATGTGTTTGCTATAAGCCAGGAGTTAGTTACTACACGTAACATTTCTTTCTACCTTTTTAAAATCGATTGCCAGAGTAGGGATGATCTGTTTTCACCTGTGTGTGCAACCCAAAAAGATTATGAAATGGGGAATTTGCAAAAAAAAACCCCACCAGAAACAAAAAACACCAAACAAAAAACCCAAATAAACAAACAAACAACAACCCAAAAGCTGTTGTTTTTCCTTAACAAGGAATCCTCTTGTCTATGGAATAATCAATTTGCAATGGCACCTAAGTAATGAAATGTGTAGTTGTTCCCACGTGACATGGTTTTATGACAATGTTAGTGATACGCTTTTTAAACTTATTCTGTGTTTTCCTTTGTATTGCACCCTTATCATTCTTTTAAAAACTTACTCCATTTCCATCTGGTCTGTCTCTTACAACATAGAAGTCTTGAGTGAGCTGCAGCTTCAATGGTTTCTTGTGATAGTGGTTATGTGTTTTAAAATATTGCAGTAAAAATGAGAATGAGTCCTGTTATCACAACTATTCAAGCATAACAGCAGATGTAATTTTATGATCTTTGACTTCCATTTTTATTAGTAAATGTTTTTTTAATGATCAAAGTTTGCAAAGAAATCATGCTTGCAAGCTAAAAGAAAGAAGAAATAAAGGAAGCTCTATTAATTTTCTGAGCCAATACTTCCACTGTAACAATTTTTACAATCTTGATAGTCTGTACTTGTATCATATTGAGTTATTGTTGAGTCAGACTGTTGGTAGGTGAATGTGAATGGACTTGTCAGGGATTGGGATTGTTTGATTCCAGAAATCTGATGACGTGTTCCAAGTGTCTCTTACACTTTCCAAATCTTAGCTGCACATTTAATTGTATAATGCATACAAAAATTCTATTTTTATTAATAAAAACCTGGAAAATGCTGTTTGGAGAACATCAGGCATTTATCTTAGCAATTTCTTAGCGGTCATGTTGACTAAACATTGGTGGAGATACTCTCAGACTAAAATAGAATTAAAAAGGGAGTTAAAAGAACAAGGGGGCAGAGAAAACAGGCTCTTCAGAGTCGCCTGGTTCTTAGCACGCTCCCAACATCAAACAGGGTTTGTGGCTGTCTGCTGGGATGACAGGTCTTGACTATGGCATTTTAAATATTGTCAGGTTGTAGGGGCTTTGGTGGGCAGTAGATGATGTTTTCTTTTTCCTTCATATTCATTCCATTTCAGGAAACATTTCAGACTCTGCCCAGCATTGAGGCTCATTGTTTTTATCAAGTATATTGTTGAGCCATTTAATGGAATATGAGCTTTGTACCCATTGGATCCACAAATGGAAGTAGAAAATAAAATGAGAAAGAAATAAAAAATTAGTATCAAGGTGCAAAGTAGGCATAGTTCTGAAGAACATTAGCCCAGGATGGATTTTGAGGATTCGTTATCTAAAAATGAATTCAGGAGGAAAAGTACTTAAGTACTCTGAAACCACATAACCTGAATTGTAAATGGAAAAGCCCCACTGAATTTTTGCATCCATTTTTCTTTAATTTTCCAGAATTGAAGGTAGTAAGAGACATAATTACATATGTTTGTATATTTTTAATACAACTTAGTTTTATATCTGACTGGTTACATCTTGGTTTTTAGTCTAATTTTCTGTTCAATTTTACTCCTCCAAAACAGAAAAAAAAGCTTCTTGAAGAACTTGGAGAGAATAGACTTCCATATATGACACCAGCCAATGCTGATTTCCATCTGTTGGTAATGTATTTCTTTTAACTTGTTTCAAACTAAAATGGCTGTTTGCACTGAACAAGAAGCAAATCTTTCTTCAAAGCGACACTGAAATCTGATATGAAAAAGGTATCCTGGTGGCTGATAAAGATAACGTACTTCCAGGTGCTGCAAAACTAGACCTCAGGAATTGGGATATTACGGAATGAAAACTTTATGAACTTAATTTATTTTTAGGATTTTGCCCTGAGTATCAGTACCTGAGTGCCAGGTAACACATGTAACAGTGAATCACAGTTTCTTTGTTGAAATAATGTATGTGTCACCATTCTCTTAAGGGGTTTTGTGTCTTTGGTTTTCAGTGGTGTGTTGCTTTTGGGTTTGTTGTTTTTTTTTTTTTTTCTCCTGAGTTGTGAAGAGAATTTCTTTATAGCTTAGATTTGGCAAAATATGGAAAATATTTGGAATTTTTGGGCTTAATTCTACACAATAAGTAACACTTCAGACTTTCCTTACAAAACAAACTGTAGAAACTGGAATATGTGCCTCAAATGAAAGCAAATAAAAGTAAAATCTGGCCCAGTAGCCACGTGAGTTGTAAACCAAATCAGTGTATGGAAGAGTATCATGAAATTAATAGAATATTCTGCGTCTGTCTTGGATCTTTCTAGGTCAGCTACAAAACATATGGCAAGAATTGTAGGTTCAGTCAGATCAAATCAGAACACCATGAGATGAAAAGCGTAAGAAAGAATCTCATAGTTTGAGCAGCTAAGCAAGCGTGCTTACATTACAGGCATGTCACCTTTCTTGTGTTGACATATGGTGCAAAGATGTATATGGTAGCATAAAAATAGGCCTGACTCTTTCCTTGCAAGGATGAATTTCTCTTTTGCAGGGTTCTAAGGCTAGGAAAAGTTTAGCACGCATCACCCTATAGAAGAGGAAAGATGCATTGATGGGTCAGATACTGGACTGCGACTCAGGAGCATGAAGTCAACCTCCAGTTTTGCCATAGGATTACAATTGTGATATTGAGCATCTGCATGCTTTCCTCACCTTTCTTGTTTGGTCTGAATTTTAGGATGCTTAGGGAAAGCATGGTTTTCTCTCTATTCTTGCAGTGCTGAACGTAGTGGAAGTAAGCTCTTGATTGAGATCTTTAACAGCTGTAAGGGTAGTCACGTGAAAACACACAACTTGCTGTTCACTATAAAGGTTCTTCTGTGGTTAAGGGCAAGGAAATACTCCTTTAAGGATCCATCTCTTATAAAGGAGTATTTGAATGTGTTGGAAAGGATAGGTAGAGTGTAAGTGAAAAACTACAGCATCCTGTCAGGTGTAGAAATGTAGAGTCTGAACAAAAGTAAAAAATTCCGTCTCAAGGAAAACTTTGCTGACATCCTCTTTCTAGGTGTCTTGCCTGATGAAGGAATTTTCAAATGGACTTCAAACCACAGGCTGAAACAATGCTATGTTTAAAGCCAGATATGAACAAAAAGTCTGTAACAAGGCCATTGACAAATACCTTAAGTACAAACTATCGTTTCATGATTTAAGTGGCATTGGTCGTTACTGCTGATTTCCAGCTTCATTCTACCACTTGTCTCATCCTGTAGGGTGATTCTCTAGAAGCCAAGTCAGGTATATATTTAAAATCATGTGTGTACCATTCATATGAAGAATTGGGCATTAAATGTGCTATTTTTTTGTCCTGTAGTTGCCGGTAACATACCTACTTCTTTCCGAGTGAACAATGAATTGACCTTTAATACTTGGTGTCAGAGTTACAACACAGAGTACATGATTACTCCCCCTTCCCCACCCCCCAAAAAACAACAAGGTGTCCAGTGTGAACCCAGCATTCACCCTGTGCTCTGATCCTTTAATGCTTTCCTTATGTAGGACATAGCACAATGACTGGTTGGAGATTTAAAGACGACCAAACTCTTTTCATGTGATGTGTCGGAAATGTGTTTCCACTTCCTGATCTCTTCTGAGATACCAGTGTGGGGATTTTTTGGTGTGGGTTTTTTTGATTGGTGGTTGGTTTGTGTGAGGGTAGTTTTTGGGTTTTTTTTTAAAAGATAGAATCCTAAGCATACTGTGTAAAACTTAATGATAAAATACTTCTTAAGCATGTAATCTTAAAACACAACTCAAAAGTAATATGCCTCTGACTTGGCTGGTAAAAAATGTGGAAGACATCCCATCTGCAGTTCAGGAGGGGAATACGATGTTGTTACCTTTGTAAAATCTGCATGTTTCCTTTCTAGTGCGTGTTTTCAGTCATTTAGTTACTTTACATCTTACTATTATTTCCCTCCTTCTGTTTGTAATGATTGTTTGGAATTTCATGTGTGTGATTCATGTCAGAAATTCAGTATATTAAAGAGTTTAAAAATATATAGTAATAGTGACTTTTTAAGTATGCTGTAATAGCATATGTAATGTGGTAATCAGTTCATCTGACCTGAGTATGTCAGGTGAAATACTGGAATACTGATACAGAAGTGATAGTGCTCTTTCTTTTATATATATCATTTGCATAATGAAACAAATCATGCAGTAATAATCTTTATATGTCACAACACATAATATTCTTTCATTATTAAGTATGACTGTGAAAGAATACTTCTGATTTCCATCAACCTATACCAACACAACTGACTGTAGCCTATAGCTGTAAATCTTTAAGATTTGCAGTTACTGATTTCAGTAGTTCTTTGTAAGGAGTTTTTCTCTGTACTGTTCAAAGGCTACAAAAAAAGCACTGATTGAACCAAAGGGGACAGTTCAGGACCTCTAAAGGAATCGTTTCAGGCTTTTGGCATGCTCAGTCAAATTGCATTTATCAAGCTTATGCTGGGTTCTTTTAATGAAAGCTGGGATCTGATGTTCTGTGCTGGGGGTTGTAGAGGGACCTTCCAGATATCTGGGACTATTTTCAAGCTTTGGTATTTAAAGTTAAGCATGTGAATACCATTGTCAGAAATCACTTATTACCTGTCGATACTATTACGGGTTTTTTCCCCTTCTCTCTAGGAATCTAGAGATTGGAAACCATAAGAATGTGTAAAGAAAGAAGTTAGCTTCACTGTAAAAGTTCACAAGGAAGTGTGGCAAGGTTTATAAACAAACTAAGTTTTAGTATGTGTAATCATTATTTTAACAATAGACTTCCTTTTATGTTCCCCTTTTTAGTAGAAACAAATGATCCTATAAAGCCACCACTCAGTGTTGTAGGATAATAACGTGTTATGATGCAATAGTCTAACTGTTTTTGTGCAGTAGGAAATGTGCATACTGACTTACTGCCTGCTTTGTGTTTTTTAAAGGCACCTTTTCTGGATTTTAAAATTAATTTCCTGAAAGGCAGGTTCAGTTCTGACTTGGAAGTAGATAGTACTGCTAAAGATGTTTTGAGTTGTACCAGAAGGAGAATACAGATGGATCATAGGTCAGCGTGATGCTTTTATGCTGGTGGCTTTTGTTTTTTAAAAACACTTTGAACATAAGCTATTGCATTAGTAAAATTATTGATAGATCAGTTTTGTGCATCCATGTGCTCTTGCCCTATTGCCTAATGCCTTCAGATTTCAGTTTATCTGAATTTCTTTTCCTACACCACCTTTTTCCCAGATCAGTGGCTAACTTCTGTGCAAAAGGAAATCGCTCTTTGGACCTTCACACATGCCAGTGAACCTGATGGGCTCACATTACAGCTTTTGCCTTACTAAGGGCACAGTTTGCATCTGTTTCTTTTATATATCTATTAATTTATGAAATACATAGGAACTTAGTCTCTTTGTCCACTTTGCCGAACAGTCTCAGCAGTAGTTAAAGCAGATTTACAGGCAACCAATAAAAGGTGTGATTATGTGATATGCACTTCCTTAGAAAACCAGATTAGTAAAGTAAAATTATCCAAGCCTTCCTGGAGTGGGAAGCAGTATTTTGCATACAAAGCAAGGTACTGCTGATTAACAGCGTTATACCTTGCTGAGAGTTGTTGCCTTCACACACGGCTGGGTTCTGAACTCCAACTGGTACCAGAGCTGGTGTGGTCAGAAGAGGATATGAGGAAAAAGGATGTTACAGGTGAAGAGATGGGCAAGAAAATATGTTTGGAAATTTTCTTTTATCTAAAGGGGAACTTTTCTATAAAATAGGAGAGTTAATTGGCACGCGTTGAGAAATGTGAAAATAGAAAAGGGCCAGTATGTCAAGGACTATTTTGAAGACAGAAGTGCACTGCAGCAGAATGTTGGCCTTTTTTCAAAATTTACATTTTCATTTGTTATTTTTTCCCTAAGGGTTATTTTTATATAGAACTGTTTCAGGTCGTCCTGTAGCCCTCTAGAGTCCTGTACATCAGAATGGGAGGGAACGGTCTTTGCAACCATCCCAAAAAGAGGAGTCGCTTTGTTACTGCTCAATATCCTATTGTTTGTGTACTTAGAAGTAGCATTATCTACAGATTCATCAGGGAGCTTATGTTCTATTGATTTCTTCCAGAATCCTCAGCTTTATTTATTTCTTTAGAGATTTGCCCTGGTGATACATCTGGTTACAGGCCACTGGTGCCTGTCTACAGTTTGTGCTCTATACTGGAACATGACAGTAAAGTAACAAATACTGTCATCGATTTCTTCACCATATTCTAGACTCATGCTTGTTAATCTGGCAATTTAGCTTTGTTTGTTCTTGAATATATGAAATGCTTTGGTTTCTGTAAAAGGAATAATTCTTTTGCTGATTCTTGTTGTTTGGGTTTGGTATTTTTTTTCTCCTTTAGTGGAAGACCAAGTATTCCAAGCTGATTTTCAGGCAATCTGATACGGTACCTGAAGAGCTCCATCAAACGGTACAAGAAGGCTTTCTGACCTTGCGAAAGCACGATTGTTTCTTTCAAGATCTTGTAAGGATCAAAGGAAAAGATTTTCTTACCCCAGTGTCTCGTGTATTAATTGGAAACCCAGGATGCACTTACAAGTACTTGAACACAAGATTATTTACAGTTCCGTGGCCCACTGAAGGTTATGATATAAAATATTGCAGTCCTCAAATACACGATGCTTGTAAAGCATTGATCAGACTTAATGACTACTTGCATATTGAAGCAGTCAAGGCATTGCAAGGGCAAAATTTGTTTGAGACCAAAGAAAGTAAAGATACTGCTGTAGTAGGTAGGGAGCAAATTGCTACTTCTCTTGTGGAGAAAGGGTCCATTTCAAAAGATCAAAGCAGTTGTGCATCAGAGAATGACTACATAAGTCTAAAGAACAGAACATACTATAACTTGACTTTATTAAATTATATGGATCCACTACAAATGACGTACTTGAAACAAGAACCTTATTTTGGAATGGGGAACATGGCAGTGAGCTGGCACCATGACGAGAATCTGGTTGAAAGGTCAACGGTTGCTGTGTACAGTTACAGCTGTGAAGGTGAGTAATGGGAGGGATGAGTGATATAAATATTTTAAATCCCTGAAGCTCTTTTATGTTTACTCGTCTGTGTATCCATGAGCACACCTGCATGCTGATCTAGATATCTCATGTGCTTTTGAATACAATGTCGTACTTTCTATGTTTATACAAACTTTTAAGCTGGTTTACTAGGTGTTCTCTAAGTAGATTTAAAAATGTGTGTGATTTTCTTCCTGACTAACAGCCAGGACATCAAAGTCCGTCAGATATCTATTTTAGGTTAACGCATGTGCATATTTTCTATCCTGTAAAATGTGTCATTGTAGTTCAATGAGATCACCATTTTTATTATGTTACCGTACACAGACCTGCTTCTGCTTTATGCTTACTTTACTACTCTTCTTTCTTTGGAAAGATCATATTAGGTTGGTTTTGTATGAAAGTATATTGTACTCTATTTACTTGGAAGCATATCCATTTTGTCTATACATGCAGTGGTGCTAACACATTTTGCAGAGGACTTGCCAACTTTTCTGTAGTTGGGAAGGAAGTTTTCTGTTAAAAGAGCTATTGTCTGACAGGCTTTGCAGGCTCTTAGTTACTTAAAAGCCATTTAAATGTAGTACTGGGGGGGAAAAGTGTAGTTGAAGAGTTGTAAAATATTTCATTTTTAGTTTAAAGTACCTTTCCCATTTTTATCTTCATTTAAGAACAGACATGAGGATTTTTGTATATTTTTCCTAATGTTCTTTTTTCCATGAAGAATTAGGGTTTTTTAATGGTTTCCAGCTTTGCAAACATAATATTAGAATTTAAACACTTGATTTGAATTTGCAAACGCATTATGTTTTGTCATTCACTACTGATTTTTGGTCCTTCCAAAAAAAAAAAAAAAACCTCTTTGATTTTTTTCTTCAAAACATGGGAAGAATTCACGTTGTCTCTGGTAGGTTTTGGCTAAAGACCATGATGTAAAAACAATAGCTCACACTTTCATGTACTTTCTCTTGTTAGTTTCGTTATTAGTTTTGAAACTATGGGTCACTTTGTTACTTTAGTGTTCAGCTTAAATCATCCTATTTACGTTTTCCTGGAAATAAAACACCAGCTGGTTTAGCAAACTGAATAGGAGAGATTCCCTGATCAGAAGAAGTGTAGTTTTATTCGTGAACATTTTTCTGTCCTATTTGTCAAAGGCATTGATATTTTATGCCCAGTAAATGTATTTTTTTCCGTAGTACTGTGGATAAATTTTCTTTAAGTAACATTTTAAGTTAAAGAAACATAAACATGAACTTGAAGTAATAATAGTATGTGTAAGGATTTATTGTAATGCACTTAAAAACTTTTTACTTTAACATGACTTGCTTGTGGAGGGGGAAAAAATTAGCTTCTTTTAAGTTCAGAGAGCTATACATTAACAAAAAAGAAAGCTGCTATCTTTATTCATAACTCATTACTTGATTTTCTTTGTTCAAGTTCAGCAAGGTAGGTAAAAAATATGCTGCTTGAAAACCACTGTAAATTCTGTGCAAGATTTGGTTGACAAGGGTAGAAAGAAATATTTGATGTATTTGGATCTTACCAAGCTCTCTCTAACTGTGAAGCATGAAGAAGCTCCACATCCTTGTGAAGATTGTTGTTAAATCTTTCTAGAATTTTATCTTCCCATTTTCCATAAGTATATTTGCTTTTTATGCCAGTATCTTTTATTAATACTACTGCATTCATTCACTTAGTACTGAGTTAGCAATGAATTCTCACTGTGCCATACAAAGACTATCACAGTCACAGTAGAATATGTAATAGAAAGAGTAGAGGTGGTCAGAAATTTTTTGATGGAACAATTTTTCCTCAGAAGATGTTAATTAGATGGATTAGTAATTTTCTGGGAGAAAACACTGACTCTGTGGGAAATTCAAGCATAAATTAAGCATGTTGATTTTTGTTATGACTATCTTCTTCATTCTCTTTTCTGCTAGGTCTTGCGCATCTTTCTGTCAACTCTCTATTCCTCCCATTCTCACTGGTCTCAGTGGTACTCCAAACAGGGAGGATCTGTGGCAGCCCCTTAGCATGAGGAAGCTAGGGCTTCCAGAGCTTCATGACTAGTGCCAATCCACCCTGACACAAGTGCGGAATCCGGAGCTTTTCAGGTTTTGAACAGCAGGAGCCCCATGTGTCAGGCAATCTCGCTGTGTTGTGGCAGCTCTTTGTCAGACTGTTTAGAGATGCACAGCTCAGGTTACATGGTTTTCTTTTTACTTTAATTTGCATTTTTATATCATTATTTGTTTGGTAACTGCTTGTTTGATTAAATAGTATTAAACCAGATACTACTGTAATTGAAGCAACTTTATTTTCTTGTTCAGTGTTTGATGCTATAATGAAAATTTAATGTTTGAAACTTTGATCAGTATTAATTGGAGTAGAAAGAGGTTTTAATATGCCAGAAAAGTAATTTGAGAGCCAAAGTAAAGATACTGGAACAAGCTGATATTCTAATTAGCATCACTGTTCATTTTCTTGTTGCCAGTGTCCAACTGTTTGAAAGCAACTTCAAATGAGGCGCATTTCTAACAACAAAAGATAGGCTTTTTGCTTAATGCTCATCTGAATTTTATTTGCTTTTATTTACATTAAATAAAATGCATTAGATTACACTAGGTTAAAGATAGGTTATCAAGTGATAAGAATAGGCCTTCGCAGAAGTTTTGGGAATTTCCTTTTAATGTGTGTGCTGCATGTAAGTGCATGAGTGGTGGTCATGGTGCGTATGCAGAACTGAACACATTACAGGATGTGGGTTCAATTATACTGTCACTAGCAGTACTTGGAATTAATTTACTTTTTTGAATTTACCATGGAACAGGAATTTCAAATTTTAACCAATTTGGGATTTTTAATAACACCTTATTTTACAAATATCCTATCGCATGACAGCATTAAGGTAAAAACTTGTTTGGGATTTTAGTATAGTAAACTAATAACCCATTTTTATTTCCTGCTCTCTTTATAAAAACTGAATTGCAATCCAAATACTGATGGAATAAGAGCATTTTCAAATATTGGATTTTGTCCATGAAAATTTCCTAATGAACAGTTTTCCCTTGGGTCTTTGTAAGTTTTGTAGGAAGTTTTATTGCTTAGCAGAGCAGTAGTTGATTCTAAAGATGTTCTTTGAAGTAGAGACTCGTTTCGATTACCAACTTAAAGGAGACAGACACTGCTAGTGACGACGTTATGTTCCGTCTGTCTCTTACCTGGATTTCCGGCAAACTGTGTTTGGGGTTAGCAAAGTAGTTTTCGCTAGATACTTTACAGTATCTTGTTTGTCTTCTTGCCTTAAGGCTCACTTGCTATATAAATCTCTTCAAGTACTAAACAACTGGCTCTTCCCTGACGAGGTAATGTCAGAAGGGTTAACAAACTCACAGTTATTTGCAGTACTGACTGATCTTGAAGGAACTTTTATTCTTGTTTCTTTTGTAAAATGCTTTTTGTATGTTAGTGATGTTCGAAGCAATACCTTAGCGCTAAACCTAATAACAACTGCTGTACCATTCGTGAATTAATTAGAAGTAATTGTGAATAAAAATAATTAAGATTCACTACAGATGTATGCTTACTCACTTGGTTAAAAAAATATCCTGAAACATTTAATTGTCAGAGTGTCAAAAACCTCTCGAACTCTTCCTCAAGTGTTTGGTGCTGAATAGCAAAGAAACCTTTCAAAGCTTTTCACTTTCTGTGCTGTGGAACAGTAACCAAACTAGATCCAGGAAAACAAGTTTCATGTTGTTCTGAACCTAACCATGACTCAAACCCGATAAGATCAGGTCTTAGAGCTGGAACATCTCTGAAATCTGAGCTGTCTAGTGAGAAGCCTAATGTTGTGACCAATTTTCTGCAGCTACATTCTTTTCTTTCATGGCTCTACCTTAATTAGAGGTTTGATGAGGTATTGTTGTTATGCTGTGGTAAGCTTGTTACCTGGTTACACCATTTTCATTTGGCATGCAAGCGTAAAGGTTTCTTGCAGGACAAATTCTATTAATCTTTAATGAACAGAATTGAAATTTGCAGATAGTTTTATTATATTTCTGTTAAATACTGCTACATTTGACTACTCCTGTATGGTCAACTCCAATATAAATACATGTTCTTATGGTGCTGTGTATGCGCGAGACCCACGTGATTTACTCTCAGATCCCTACGGTTTAGATGCATCCCAATGTTTTCAGTTGAATGGGAACTGTAATTATATCAATGAATGTACAGCATTCAGTCATGCTTGAGGTGTGACATACAGAATTTAATAACAACTCTCTTTATGTAGAAGTTTGTCGGTGCTACCTACAGATACAAATGTTAAGGTGTGTTTTGTTTCGTGCTCTCACATTCAGAATAGCTTGCATTTTAAAGATAGTAGCAGCTTGCTTCCATTTGTTACCAAAATAACATGGTAGGGGCAATCAGTTTCAATTGCTGCTGATAATTATAAGGTGCAATAATTGAGAATACAGAGAAAAGGAGACTGTGAGCTACATTTGAACTCTGTACTTAAGCAATAAAAAATTTATCAAACTGCAAAAAATAAGTCATTTTAACGAGCACATTCCAAAGGTGCTGGATTTATGAGGAGACCCCAGGAAACTTTGATTGAAATTGCTGTCTCTGATTGTAGTTCTATATTTTATTGGTGCCATATTGTGAACAGTGCTGCTGCCAAAGTGAATGGGAAAGCAGCATAATAGAGAGAGTTAACCCAGAAAGGTTACCTCTTTTTATAATATCCATGATGTATTGCATTAAAAATGCCTTGAAAGCCATCCTATTTGCAGTTTTCAGAAAACATTTTTCTTAAGTTACGATTTATCTGAGCAGGGCAGAAAATATGAAAGCCCCTTGAAGACTTTAGTATTGATTTTTCTGAGTGTTTGCTAGCTGTTGTTTTCTCATCTGTGTGCTCCCTGATAGCAAGGCCTAGAGCCGCGCCTCAGCCCGAGCTTCGGCTGGATGAGAACAGCATCCGTGGAGGGAGGGAATATGGGGGCTGAATTTACAGTTGGAGTTTTAACTAAGACTTTGCCTTGGCTTTTTAAAAGATTTTGGCTCTCTGCTTCCTGAATTTTAGGCAATGTTTCATTGACATAAAAACTGAGACAATTTATTAATTACTGAAGGCTACTCCAAACTAAACAAATGTTGAAGTAACCATGTGATATGAATGACACTGAATATTTTGAAAGTGAGTGTTTAAGGTCACTTTTTATGTGTACATATTATAGTAAAAGTTGTAAATCTTTATTTTAGGATTTTTATTGTAGAATTAAATGAGGACAAAAGCACATTTGAAGTGGACAGTGAAATGGACAGACAGTTACTAAGTTACAAGCAATAATAAGGCATGCTACATAGTGGATGATTTCTAACTGTTCACTGCTGTTCTGTGCCAACTGCTTATTAAAACTTCATCCTCCCTCTGTCAAACTGCTCTGTTACTTTAGCCATAAAACTGTTATACCATAGCTCCCAAATACCTTGTTATAAATGCTGACTGTATCTTTCAATTTATACTGCAGTGAAGTAAGCTTATGAAAATAGTTTTGAGGGATTAAGCTCTAAATACTATTTCTATGCAGTGGATTATTTTTTCCCCAAGCTCAACACATTCATGTTGCTTAATGATAAGAAAATTGTTGTGACAAATGTACTGAAGCTCTGTTGGCTCTTGCACTTATTATCTAGCCTGTTTGACTAGGAATTTTGAGCAAAGAGTGACAGTTATGATTCCAAGATTCCCTCAACTTTGTTGGTCTAGGTTGTGTTTTGTGCTCATTATTTTACGTTACTTTGCCCCAGTTTATGATCTGATGAAATTGGAAGAATGTAAACAAATGAAATTGTTCATAAAATGCTTTGGAAGTTTATGAATTTAAATTCTTTCAGGGGTTATCTATTTTTATATCAGTGTTGCTGAATTTTTTTTCTTTTTCCTTCTATGCTTGTAGCTTTAGTAATTAAAAATAAAAAAAGTGCAGATTAACTAAAACTCCCATTACATGTACTTAAGAACTTAAAAACTTGAGTACATTACAAACTTTGCCTTGATTTGCCTAAACTTTGGAGTTAACATGAATTTTTCATCTTAGTTGGTTGCAAATAAATCTTGATGTCATATGGCTTTTTTCTTTTAACCTATGATGTACTTTTGAATTTGGAGTTGGTGATTATGCCAAATGAATACTATATCAAGTCTAAGCCTATTAAGATTGTAGCAATGTGGGGTATGATTAAGTCTGTGTTGTTAGACCATATTTTGTATTTTCTATTGTCACCTTGTCTGTCACCTTTGTGGTGTTTTTCCCTCTCTCTCTTTACAGGTTCGGCTGTGGAAGAAAGCAATGAACAAAAACTGCAGGGAAGAGACCCAGCTGTTTGGCACGTAGGCTTGAAGGTAGCATGGGATATAGAGACACCTGGATTAGCAATACCACTTCACCAAGGAGACTTCTACTTGATGCTTGGTAATTTTCAAGGGCTGAGAAGGTGAACTTTCTCTTGAAAACAGAAAAGGACACTTAAAATAAATTATATCTTCCTTTCAGTTAGGACTTTCCTTATTTAGAAAGACATGAGAACTGGCTGAAGTATATAATAAATTCCTTCTACCCTGCCCCCTGCCAGTGTATTTTGGGGAACCTTTTTTTTTTTTCCTAATGTTTCTTCCACTTCACAGCTAAAAAAGAAAAATACTCTTTTTGAGCCTTTTCTGTCTGTTGTGCAGTTAGAATTGCTAGTCCAAGTTGAGCTCTATCTGTCCTTGTCTTGTAGATACGGATTCCTTTTTCTGTTCTTAATGCAGTAACTGTGTTTACTGAGTAATTGTGAGCATCTACATCTGTTATGTTCAACAAAAAAAAGTCCTGTTCTTGAGTTTGTCTTATAGACTGGCTGTGTGTTATGTAAGCTGTGACTGTAGCAGTCAAAGTTTTGTGGTACTGTGGGTTTTGAAGTGTCAACCATTATGCCAATCTGTGGATGTTTTGTTGGTCAACAATTTTAGATGTGACACTTCTTTCCTTCTGCTACCTTTTTCCATGTGTATATTCAAACATACTGTTTTCTAGTAGTGGGATTGTATTAAGATCATAATGAACAGAGCTGCCATACTCCAAGAGTGAGTCTCGATGTCTCAAGTGTAGAGGATTTAAAAAAGGAAAATAGAATTGAGTTCATTTACTTGAGCAGCTGAGCTTACACACTAAGGCTTTTCCCTTGAAGGAAAAGAGGCAAGAACTGTGGCTAAGGTTTGTTGACACAAAATCTGTTGCTTTCTCTTTGTCTTGTGTTTCTCCTAGTTATCATTTTTGTTTAAACAAATTTGGTTAGAAATAACACAAAACATGGACGTTGCTTCTGACATCACCATGTTTACCTGCTTGGTGACTTGGCTTGACAGACATCACCTTCGAAGAGTGAGAGCACTTGCAGTGCTCGCTGTTGACATGGAAGGTAGACACCATGGGACATCCTAGAATGACCTGTCGCACTGCCAGCTTGTCGGGTTGAAGAGTCTTTTCACTTTTACCTTTCACTTTTGTCTTCCAACAAATATGAAAGCAGTTTATGTACTACAAGCTATACATCTGTGGAACACCTTAAAAACCAGATACCATTCCTTGTTCTTTGCTACCTCATCAAGTACTGTGCACTGTCATCAATGAAGTATCTTGTACAGAAGAACTGGGCTGTCGTTAAGAACTTTGGCACAGTGCTGTGGATGTGCCTCCCTTTTCTGTATTTGTGAGGATATAGAGTAGCAGCCTGGAGGGAAATGGAGCCATTTTTTATATGAAGTGAAGTTTATGTGGTAGCTAAACATTCCTAGAAAGGGAATTATTAATCCATTTTTGTGCAGTAGCAGTTCAGGCATCAAGTAAACTTCTTATCTAATCCTTCCTGATTGGAAAATTTGTGCATACACAACAGATTTGAAGGCAAGTAATAAAAGCAGGGGTCTACCTTCAGTGTTTTTATTGCAAAATACTGTAGATTGTAGCTGACTGAGTTACCAGATCATAAGGACATTTTTTATTCCCTGCTGGAATTTGTAAACAGTAACAAAATTGTTATCAGGTATGCTATGGGTAGAGTGGGTGAGAAAGTTAGTTTATTTAAGACATAACATCATGATCATGTTTAGATGGGAACAAAGGATATATTAAACATTCTTTTGAAGGCGATGTGTAAATCATTTTATTATTAATACTCTGTGAAGAGCTACAGATTTGAGCTCTGTAGGCCAGGTGGTTGATAATCTCTTCTGAATTTCCACAGCCTTTGGGTTTTTTTTTTTCCCCTCAATTACTTTAAAAAAAAATTTTTATACAGTCTGAGAGAGTATTCTCAAACTGGCCCTTTCATTAGTTTTTATGTACAGCAGAACTGCCTTTATTGTTTTCACTTGAGGTGAAAGGCAGTGTAAGTGAACGTGTAAGTTTTAGTGTACTTTTTGCTATTCAGATTTTTTAAACTGGTTTTTAAGAGGAGGCATGTTGAAGATGCCATCTAAAAGATAAAATATGGAAACTTTGTCTAAAGAGTAACATGAACATAAAGAAGCCAGCTTTAGATTCATTTATCTCATGCCTTTATACATCATACGTTCCAGATTCTCATTTTGATAAGCAGAGTCTTCTTGCTGGCATTGTTTTAGAAGCAGTAGCAGCAGTATGTAAGGCATCTAGAAAATACCATGCTAAGAGAAGAGTACTGCATGTAGTAGTAGCTGTTAAAGCATGGGGACTGATTGGTAGGATCAGTACTGTTTCTGCTACCCACTCTACTCATCCATCTGTACCAAAAAACCTTAGCGATGCTGTAGGTCTGTTCTTGCAATTGTTGATACGGCACTGTGCTTACTGTGTTGTGTGGTTGTCAAATTCTGAAATGTCAAAGTCAGTGCATTGCTTATAATTAAAAAGTGAGGTCCTATCGTTCCCTCTAACTGTAATACCCCAACTGTTTCCAAATACTGTACACAGAAATCTTAGATATGAAAACGTGATAATGCGCTATTTCTAATAGCAGTGTGCAGGTACAGTAACTTTTAAATCCTGATCAAGGGTATGTCAGAGGAACAAAAAGATCAGGAATGTGTTTTAGCATTTCTAGAAGACATTTAGTAAGGTTTATGTCCCTCTCTTCATTGGCTGTATAAAATGATTTTTGTGAATTCTGGGTAGAATTTTATTAAAATGCAGTCTCAAAATACAAAATTACAGCTGCCTTCTCAGCAGTCCTCTTCAGAGGAAATCATAAGCCGTAAGTAGCTGTATGTTAGTAGTAAACATGAGGTGATCAAATTCATCCTTCAAGTAAGCTGTTACAATAATATAAATATATTTTGATTTAAAAAACCCAAACAAAATCCAAAATTACTTTTGTAAGATAGATTTTTTTTTTCTTTAAGTCTTACTTCTCCTCCTATGAAGGAAAAAGATCCACTGAATGGCTGCAAATCTGCTGCCTAAAATCTGAACTTTATATCACTCATGAAACGGAAACACTTTAGCTCAATTTAGAATAATATATGGGTCTGCAGAGGAAGTGCATACTGAACCCTGCTGTCTCAAGTACACAGTCAAGGGGTGTCTAATATGAAATGTGTTGGGTGCATGCTATAAATCCAAAACGCGTGGAGGTGAGCGAAGGGCTCCATCTGCTCTGTCCTAGAGCATGCTTAACTAGGGTTGTCATGGTCTTACTATTAAATTGGAATCTTTCCCCCATCTTTGAGTTAGACACGACCAGATTTGCACACAGATTTACAATTTTCACTAATTTTCCTACCATGACTTCAAAACATACTAAACAAAAATACATTCTGGACTTTTCCAAAGAGAGATTTACTTTTCTGCAGCTGTTTCCCATAGATCAAGCTCTTGCTTGAAGGTTAGAGTTTTAAAACAGCATGAAGATGAACTTGGAATCTTATACCCCTCCCCACCCCCAGCGAATTACAGTTCAAGAAGCACCAAAAAATTACTTTCGTAACCAACCAGAAGTGGGTGCACACATTGCAGAGGTTGGCTTGTGGTTAAAGATAAATATTTAATGGAAACACTTCCACATGTATATAGTGGCTCATTAAACTATTTCTAGATATTTAATCTGCTTCTATTTCCACAAATTAACTTGAACCCTCTTTGCTCTCTAGCATCTTGAATGTGTTGGAGTTTTTTTAAACTTTTTTTTTTCTTGAGTTCACATTTAATCCAAACGCTATATTCCTTGATTATTAAGACTTCGAACCCCAGAAGCCTATGTGTCGTTACCAAACTTTGATCATGGTTTGGCAAATCCCAGACTGTTTTTTTTCTTTTAGTTCATCCTTTTAATTCATTCTGTGTTTTTGCTTTGTGCACACTTTTCTTGGTTAAAATCTAAAAATATTTCTTAATTAGGGACAGATCATCCCTCTAGCTTTCTGTTATGAAAGTAGTATTCCATTGGCCCATAGTTTCTTGGGGAAGGAGACATACCTTCCTGGTGCTTTTTGTTGACATACCTACGGTGACACTAGTTTGGTTAGGCTTTCTCCTGGGGAAGCATTGTGTGCAGCTTGGATACAAGTAGGATTGGAAATGGTGGAAAAGCGTTTTAGTGTTTTTGATAATTGCACTGTAATATAGTTAAAAATAAAATACTTTGTGGTAGTTAAGCAAGCTCATAGCACAAGTCCATTTCACTTCTGTTTGTAGACATTTGTGGAGTTGAGGCTATCAGAGCTTTGGGCAGTGCTTTGAACCTCACCACACCTATTACCTGCTTCTTGAAATAGACGACAGAAAGACAACTGTCTAAAAAGCTCAGGAAGAACACTTGAAGGAAGATAGAAAAGATGATACAAACCCCTGTTGCTAATTCATTGTATTTTGTAAGTCTGCAGTGGCACGGGTTACAGTCATTGCTTCTCTCAGTGCTTTGGCTCTCACTTCACCAGTGCTCTGATAATCAGTTAAGTGGCAGAATTAGTGAAGGATACCCACATTAGTTAGTGTATATACATGCACATGTCCATTAGTCCGTTCTTTTGACAAAGGCTATACAAGCTTTGGCTTTCAGTGTTTCCACTGGTGGTGCCCAGGTAATTCAGCTGTCCAGAAGAACTCAGGGACAGGGACTGCGAAAACAGGATCAGAAAGGAGAGGGTCTAGCAGTATTTTCAAGCAGTGGAGAGGACTGTGCTGAGATCCTGTGCTGGGAGACAGGATGGCAGAAGTTGGTACAGGGGAGGGACAGAGAGATCTATGGCTTGAACTTGCTACCAGAATTTAAAATAGGGTATGCAGCATCTAAATTCCAAAATGTATCTGCTCTCTGGAAATAGCAGCAGAATCTGAGAAGCTTGTCTGATAAGGAGGTCCACGCAGAGAATAAGTCTCCCTCTGACAGTGGAAGGGTGGCCAGGTGTTAAAACAATAGTGTTAGTTTTAGGAGCTGTAATAAGCCTGCTTCTCTCACAGAATTTCCATGCAAACTTTGCCAAGTGCCTTAGCCTCTCCTTGCCCTTAGGTGTTTGTGTCACTTACCGACTTTACAGAAGCCTTGCATGGATAAGTGTATTAAAGCACCAAGGACCTTAGTGGGTTTTGAGTGCTTGGGTTTTTTTCTTCCTGGGGCTGTGAGGAATAGGGATCTGTAGTAAACAAAAACACCATTTGGTAACTCTTTTACACAAGGTGTGTTATCTGAAGTTTCTGTAGCTGAAGATTCTGTGTCAAATAATTGTATGCATTTGCAACTAATTGGATCACCTGCTAAATGGTCTCCTGACTTCGTAATACTTCATCTGTAAAGTCAAAATCTGACCTCCAAACTATTTAAACAGACCTCAGGTTGATAACTTTGTTTTCCAGGGTGGCTTTGGCCACCAGTACAAAATCATACATGTGATTAATTTTCTTTTAATAAATCTTGCTTCAGCTATAATAGCCCTATAATGGGATCTGGCCATAAAATGACAGATGATTCATTGGGAAGTGGCAGGCAGAGAATCGTATAAATAAAAGAATAAACCAATCTATTTAAAAGAAATAGGGGTTTTGCCATATACATGTATGCAGGAAAGAGTCTCCTTGTATCTTAGGTGCTCCACCTCAGACAGAAAAATGAAGATTCTCTTTCCAGCATTCGAACACCAAGTGTCTGTTACCAACCAGGTTGTGTTGCTTTGAGTGCAGACAGGCCCTTTACAATATTGTCAGTAGTTTGGGGAAACTGATTTAGGCAATATACTGCCTGAAGTGCAGATAACCATCCACATTTGCATAGTAACTGGTGGCACAGTGGTATCCTGTTCATACAGGTAAATAGGAGTAGCTTTAATGGGTGTGATTAGGCTTTGATTCAGAAAAACCCCTTTGGTCAGGATAGCACTCCAGCGTGCATGGGACTTCATTAGTTTTTTGTGATTGTTTTCTAGAACTACTATTTTAAATTTGGATAATTTGTAGTGATTTAGAATTTATAAACAAGCAAAAATCCTGGTCAGACTTTAGAAAAACGTCTGTGTAAATGACAACATTTTTCATAGATGTGTGGAAGATTTTGGGAGAGGAGCAGTTGTGTAAGCACAAAATTGTAGTCCAGTTCTCAAAACTTCTTTCTTACCTCTCAGTGAATTGGCAAGTCAGTTCTCATATGCATTATACAGTTCACAGGTTTTGTGAGGTTTTGTTTTTGTAAAAGAGTGAAATAGTGACTGCCATAGTCACCCTGAATTTGTGGTAAGATAAGGGGCACACTTCCATGGCAGAAAAGACGCCACGTAGTCTCTCGCCTCACCGCAAATTCAGGACGGCCGTCTGACAAATCACTTGTCTGTGTGCAGCGTCCCACAGCAGAACTGATACGTATATTCCTACTTTCATATGCATGTATTTTAGGTGATGCATAATACTGGGGAGGCTGTGTTTTGGTTTTGCAAACCTCACTGGTCAGTGATTAGTCATCTGAAACTGATATTAACTCCGTATATATTGTATTTTACCTAAAACCACAAGAGCACTCTGGTAGTTTTGAGATGAATGTCCAAGGAAGATAACAGTTTTGTTTTGACTCTAAAACCAATATAATAATCTGGATGTAGTGTTCTGTATCTGAATACAAGCTTTTGCTGCCCAAAGGGCAATGGCCAATTAACAGTGTGCTTTTTCTTTTCAATTAATGTATTTTATAAGAAAAAGAAAAGCAAATCTTTACAGCATAAATCTTAAATCTTTTAAGACCTAGAATGTATTTTCCAAATGTCCTTTGAGACATGCAATACGTGACGCTTCAACTATTTCTGCACAATTACAGTTACAGGTGAATTATAAACACTTAAATTAAAATTACAGGCTTCTTTCTAAGAGTCATAAAGGATTAGGGACAGTTGGAAGCAATTTCAAGGGAGAGCTCTACAGTGAGTGGTTTGCCAAGGGTTCAGGTAAAGGTGCAAATCAAAATGTGATACTTCTAATGCTGTATTTGCTACATCAACCACCCCACAGTGAATGGGCACTGCTTGGGGTAGTAGAATCATTTATGTTTGTTTCCTGTCACAATTCTTTTTGGTGGAGATTGTAATATTTAAATATTGCAGTGCCCAGAGATGATACTGTTCTGTGGTCCTTGCAAGATTTGGCTGTATGTAATTTAACTCTCATATGTTTATGTAGAAAAATCACTTTTTTTTCTAGCCTCTTTTTCTTTGATTTGGAGTGTTTTGTCAAGATTTGTGACTACCTATCTGCAGATCTCATGCAAACAGAAAACAAGCCTCCCATGTAAACTTTTTCAGGGGGAATTCAATTCTGTTTCACAACACTCATCTACCTGTTCCTGATATAATTTTTTTTTTTCCAAGTTTGCGATGCTATCTGCTGTCTTGAGTACAAACTTTGTTAATAGTTGCTTATAAAATTAATTAAAATAAAACACTGTTCTTACAACTAGGAAATTTTTTTCTGAATTCTTCCTCTTCAGACTTTTCTTGGTTTTAAAGATTCAGACTTGTTGCAAGGTAAAGTAAAAGTTTTAGAGCATATCCTTTTTTCAGATGTGAGAATACCATTAAACCTCACACACTGTGTTCTTTTCAGTTTTATCGCCTGTCATTATGGTCAAAAAGAGTGTTTTCAAAAATTAGTAGGAATTTGGGATATCAAGTTTGAGGTGTGCAAATATTGATGTCTTAAAGAGAAATTATGTTTATGTGGTGGAATGATGAAACTTGGTACTTTCTCATCATGTTGTATTAAGTTGGCTGAAGCTAAATTCCCTGAAAGAATAGATATTGCTGAAAATACAAACTCCAAGTTAACTAGCATCTTGTAAGTCTCTTCCTGCTTTCTTCCAGTTTTGTCTATGACTGGTTTTTGCTTGGTGACACTTCAGGTCACTGAGTTTTGTATGTTTTTTTTAGTCTTTTTCTACTAGTTTTCAAGTCTATAACCCAGGAGTGATTTTACAGAAAATTTTGATAGATTTTCTTGAATGTCTTATTAAGGTTGAGAGGGCAGCATAATTTTAACACCAAAATTGTTTGAGTTGTAAGCACTTCATGAACAGTTTTCAATGTGACAGTGGGTGTTGTTACTAAAAAATGCTGATTTGTCAGAATTCAAGCGTTCTTCTATTATGATAATTCTGAGGAAACTGGTGGCAACCAAGTAGATTCCATCTACAGAGGTTTGTGGGGTTGGTTGTTTGCCAGTTTGTGACTTCAAGTCTATGACAGACCTCTAGCAGGCAACAAGAAAGTCAAAAATTGAACTAAATGCTTTCGAGACAGGTCTTTGTGCTTTGTGGCTTCCCAGTTTCTTGGCTCTGAGCTGGAGGAAGAACTTTAGACAAGTTTAAGATAAAAAGATGAAATAATTTGTCTTTGGCGTTTTTTTTTTTTTCTCTGTTGCTTTTTTTTTTCTTTTTCCTAAAACAAGTCAGTATTATTTACTGGTTTTTAAGAAAAGAGATTGTAATTTCTGAGTAGTTTGTTGTTTACAGTGATTCTCAACTTGGAAAGAATTAATTGGTTTAGTTGAACTTTTCCTGGAAGAGGTAGAAAAATGCCACTTCTAAACTGTCTAAACTGGGAGAAAACGGATATAGAGATCTTCATAACACTAGGCCATTGAATACTTGTCACGACCTGCTAAACATCAGAGGCCTATGAGGATCTGACTGAATTCTTTTTCGTTGAAATGTTTAACGAAGCATCTTTAGTTTGTATTCAGACAGAATAAGTTCTATTAAGTATAATTTTTTCCCCGTACTTAAGGTTTTCTAATCTGTCCCTAGATGATCTCAATATGACACATCAGCACTGTGTTCTGGCTGGTTTTTCACCTCGATTCAGCTCAACTCACAGAGTGGCAGATGTAAGTATCAAAACCGATTTGCTACTTGGTCCTTCATAAAACTAATATTGTGGTACCATATATGTGGCATCCTGTTGTCTTATCCAGAACTGTTGTTCACAGTTACGCTCATGACTCAGACTGTTTTCTTGAATAATTGCTATTTGCCTCTTTTTTGATTGAGGTACATCTTTCTGTATTCGTAGTTTGCCTAAACTCACAGTTAGGCATAGAAGACATGACTTAAGAATGTGCTACACCACACCTTGTGGATTATTGATGAAATGTAGAAACAACTGTATTTTCAAAATTTTTGCTGTGTTCATATCCCAGTCCTAGTTGAAAGGCAGTATTCATGAAGAGGTAGGTCATCACAACTCAAAACACATAGGTCAACAGTGTCCGCTGGCAAAAATGGCCTTTAGGAGGTCAGAACAACTAAGAGCAATTATGAGGATGTTTTAAATTGGATCCTTCTGGGCATCTGAGGATTGAAGAAGCAGAAAAGTGTTAGTGTCCCTTGTCTGAGTCGTTCTGAGATAACAAGGCTTCAGCCTCACATGCTAAGACATCTTTTTTTTATTTATTTATTTTACTAGACCTATTCCTTTCCATGGTTTTATCAGTAGTTTTATGTAGTATTCTAATGGGAAAGCGTACAGAAAAATAAAAATAGACTGTGTTGTAAAACGATATTATAAAACAATTACAACTACCATGTTTTCTCAGCAAGGCAAAATACACCACTGTTGAAGCATGAGAGATACATGCATCCATATACTTCTCTTTTTCCCCATTACCCCTCCTAATTTGTGTAGGAATTCAAATGAAGCAGTAGCACGAAACATGGACATATACATACATATAAGTTGTAATACTAAAAAAAAGTGTCTTTATTTCCCAAATACATACTCTGCTTGCTTGAACTGGGATTTGACATAAAGTACATGGTACATTATTTTAAAATAAATAATTCTGTATTATTAATCTCATTTCAAGAGTGCTCTGACCTACTGCTCCCATCTCTTACTTTTTCAGGAAAATGCACACTGATTTTTCAGTGTGAAACGTTTCTGTATTGAGTGATTATGCTTTGGTTTTGTAAACTGTTGTGACTTCAAGTTGCATACTATGGGAAATTTTTTTACAAGGAATATGAGTCCGGGGGTCCTTACTCAACGTTATTCCTGGAAATGTAACTGAAGGTACTTAATTGGAAACAATTTGAAGATTTAGTTGTCTTCTTTCTTTTGTTTCAAAAGGATTTTTACAGATTTCCTTTTAATTTTGAAGGAAATTAACTGAAAACAAAATAAAAGGAGTGGAAGTGCAAATTTGTTTTGTTCATCGTAATCTCTGTACCTTGTAAGCAAACAGCTCTCAGACTGGATAGGGAACTCTGTTTTAATGGTAGTAGGAGCCCATGCAACTGGGAAAATACAAGTGATTCTGAAATAGTGTCAGAAAAACTGGCCAGGAAGCAATGGAAAGTATGGCCGTGATTTTGTATGCCATATTTTTAGAGTAAATTTAAAGGGAATTCTTTTCTTTCTCCTTTCAATATGCTGTATACTGTAACTATATGGACAATCCAGGAGGCATTACACTTTTGTTTAAAAGATCGTGAAATAAAGTTGTGGAACTTTGATTATTTCAGGAGCAAATAGTTTCAATATATTTGAGAAATACATATGTTCTGAAGTGGCTATATATTTTTATTGTATCCTTATAGTGTTCAAGAGGAACATTGGAATACATATTTGGACAGTGTGAACTGGCACTCCAGAATTTACAGACTGATTCTGATTTAATGGTTTTATCTTTGAAATCACTGGAAACTGCAGTTGTAAAGCAAGTAGAAGAAATACATAATGAGGTGAGATGCTCTGCACTGAAAATACTGCAGCCAGATTCTCAGATGCAGCCTGCTCATGCAGTTAATGGCAAAAAGGCTGCTCACAAGGCGTTGCTCTGTATAAGTTTCAAGTGTGTGTTTTATGACTTTTTCACTTGGGTGCAGTAACTGAGGTTAACTTCGATTGATACCTTCATTCCCATGAAGTCTTCATTTGTCCTTCTTACGATCCCTCTGCTGTTAGAGTTGTTGCAGTCAGATTGCCCCAAATGCGATCCTGTGGTGGACAAACCGACCTGCTCAAGCACCTCTCACGGACAGTGACGAGAAAAGAGGGAGGAGCAGGTAAAATGCTTCAGTTTGTCAGGTGTTGAACCAGGGTTTTACAGAACGCCAGGTGTGACGCAATTGCGAGTATGTACTTTAAAGTATATTCTGAAGAAAATACTGCGGAAATAGTTGTGAGGACCATATTGAAGCAAGTGGTTCTGCGCTACAAAATGTGCAAGCGTAGCAATGCACTTCCGCAGGATCCCACTGAAGCTGACAGTGCTTTCTTGTTTGAAGTACAGATTTGGGGTCTTAACCAACACACTGATTTGACAAATGAGCTGAAAATATCAGACAGTATTTTGGGAAACTGCAGAAACAGGTAATTTTTCCTGGGATATAAAAGTAGACAGTATCACAAAAAATGGAACTGGGCTTATTCTCTGTTAGTGGATAGACTCTGGGTCTTCTTACAAGGGTAGTGTTTCTGAAGATGGTAGATTTAATACTTCTCTTATTTTCTTTTGGTTTTTTTTTTTAAGTTACAGAAAATATAGTCAAGGCTATGTTTTAGAGTTTGAAATGAGAGACTCTTTAGCTGCTCTGGAAAGCTCTGCTTCCACCTGAAACAAAGCTTTCAGCTCTTCCTAACTGTAAAGCACTGATGATCATCTCTTTTTTTTAAAAAACAAACTGCTGAAC